AAGAGGATGGTTATGGTTTCCTTCGTATGTTGTGGTCAAGATAGTTGTATCCTCGGCACATCTTTGGACCTATATATATATATGAATTCAAATAAGCAATATTTATTACATGAATCAATACTTAATTATAGCATTTTGTATGTATTAACAAAGTTACTACCGATAATTAGGTAATAATGATGTATGTCGTTTAGTGATGTCTACTTATCACTCCAAAACAAATGGAAAAAAATTCAAACCCGTATTATAGGGGAAAAAAAAACTATTGAAACTTCATATTCACACGTAATTTTAGATAAAATATATTTATTATGTATACAAACATTGTAGAAGCAACAAAGTTTTGTTAATAACGTGGAAAATTTTGTTAAATTTGAACATTTATTGTTGCAGTATGATTATATATAATTTACAGCTAACCTGTTTACGGACCGGACATCCAACGGCCATGGTGCAACGATAGTAAGCGCGAGGACAAGGATTCCCTTTCGCCATTTTCTGACCATATTTTCTCCATTGGCATCCATCATTTACCTATTATGTAAAAAAATGATTCAATCATTCAAAACAAATTATATTATGTAAAACAAAACAAAGTTAGTAACTTATATATAGCTAGAATAGCAAGTTACCGTGGTGGCATCGGATCTAGCTCTAACGGAAACCCTAGCTTTTCTAAATGGTAATTGATCATGAGGGTTTTGTTGTTCTTCATGACTAGTAGTACTCTTGTTTTGATCCAATCTTGGAGTTTTTGGTGAGCTTTGGTGCAGATCACGATCATTGATATCGTCGGGAGACCGTCGTTTCAAGGTGGTGGTCGGAATTTCATTGTTCATATCCGTTGATCTGCTGTCCTCTAGAGCTTTTGAAGAAACAGCTTGAGGTATATCCTTTTTTACGAAACGAACAAAATGTAGAAGAAATGAATTAGTATCTTAAAGAAAATTGGAAGAAAAAAAGTCTGCTATGAGATTACACCAAAGACAATAGATTATTGTTGGTATTTTAATTAATTTGATCAATTTTCAACGATCGATGCAATTCCAAGATATATATGTATAAATTTGATAACCTACCACATATACAAACACATATGTCCATTTATAGTGGCAATAAAAAATATTAAAAGTTAAGGCAAAGACTCATATGATGCATATATATATGTACAGGGTCATCGACAGATATATAAAAACATGATGGATATACAGGAACGTACCTAACTATAAACAAACAAGTTCTCGTTTATATAGCTTCTAAATAATTAAAGGTTCTTTTAGTTTAAAACATCTCAGAAAATCCAAAACTCATTTCTTCATAATCTTAGTTGTAAGAAACACATTTGACCGAGTCATTGACTATACTTTGCTCTAATTTTTTTATTTTTTTTTTAAAAGCTGCATTTAATCATTTATTTTGCTCATGGCTTTGAAATTCTAAGTTTATTAGTTGGACATGAAATTCTAAGTTTTTCAATCCATCAAATACGCATATTGCACTTAATGAGTTTCAAATTTCAATTGAGCTACGTAAAAACAAAACTACTCCATATATCAGCCAAGTTTTTATTGTTTATAAATTGGATAAATATTATGTCAAAACCTAGCTAGACTAATCCCGATGCAGCGAAGATCAATAAATACTTCAATGACTTTTAACAAAAAAGACAAAATACAGAATTTAGATTGTAATAAATTGAATTATTACTAGTATTATATAGATTTTTATGATATGATTAATCAAGTACCTCGTGTTGTTTATGAAGACCTTCCACTTGAGTCTGTGATCTAGCCAGCAAAACTCTCCTTTGAAGGTCGTTGTAACTCTCACTGATCTCATCTACTAAATGCTTCAACTTGTGATTCTCCTCGTGAAGTCTCTCTAGCTCCAATTTCAGCCTACTAATCTGCAATTTATATTCTTGTTAGTTAGTATAAACT